AAACATATAATATATAAAATATATAAAATAATTATATAAAATATATAAATATAATATATAAATTTTTTAAATATAAATCATTCTTTATTAATCATTATTATTAATATTATATATAAAAAATGAACATAAACAAATATTTTATACAATGTAAGTTACTTCAAATAATTTTTTGAAGTTATGAATATTTCTTTTCTTGTAAAAGAAACAAAAATATAAATTTGATATAATGTTTTTATTAATAATAATTTTTATTTGATTCTTGTATATATATGTGTGTGTGTAATGAATGATTATTAAATAAGTTAATAAATATAAATAAATAAGTTTTTCCTTTAATTTTAGAATTTACAATTTTATTATGAAAATCATAGATTATTATTATTATAATCATTTTTACTATTTATATTTCTATTATATTTGTTTTTGATTAATTTTTTTTGCTCATATTCCATTTTGAACTTAATTGAACTTTCTTAAATTTTTTATATCTTCTTTTCATATTTGTCAAATTTTCTTCTTTATCTATTATATTCTTTTATTTTTTTTCCATATTTGTTAGATTTTCTTCTTTATCCATCATTCCCTTAAACATTTCAATATCAATAATTTTAAGTAGTAGATGATGATATAATATGATGTTCAAAAATGCAAAAATTTATAATACTATTATTTAAATATTATTCATCATAAAAATTTGCCCTACAATATGATTCTAATATTATTTTTTTTAAAAAAGAAAACTGCAAGAAAAAAATTAGTGTTTAAAAATTATTTTCATATGAAGATTGAATATTTATTATGTACAGTAATAATTAATTACAAATTAATTAAAATTTTAAGAAAATTGTTTCATTTAAATTTTAAAATTTCATTTTCATTTTTCTCTGTTATTCCGTTTTTCAAACTTTATTATTATTAAATCTAATTGTCAAAAATAAGAAATACTAAATGTAATCAGAGAAGATTAAACAAATATAAATATTATATAATTATAATAAATTATTTAATTTCTGTTTTTATAAATCTTAAGTTTTTTACATAATAATTTCTTACATTTGTAACAAAATATATAATGAAAATATAAAAATAAAAATGCAACATATATTTTATTCATATATTTTAAAGAATTTATAAAAAATTTTTTAAATAAAATTAATTACTTATATTTAACAAAAAATGTAAAAATATATTTATTTTAATAAGACAAAATTGAATTTATAAAAAGTTAGCTAAAAAATATATTTCATGAAAATTATATCATATTTTATTTTATTTTATAAGATTATATTATATTAATAACTATTTCATTATGAAATAACAAATAATATGAATACTGGAGTATCAAATTTTTCTAAATTCTATTCAATTAATGTATCATAATTATGTATCAATAATGATAGAGTTCCTCACCTTTTATTTTTAAAATATTTTTATCAATAGTGTAAGGCGATTAAACTTTGCAAAAAAATATATTAATTATGATACAAGTTGGAATAATGTTATATTTAATGATATAATTATGTTAAATTAATTTAATTTTTTTAACTTAGATAATAAAATAGATAATAAAAATAAATATAAATATAATAAAAATATAATAAAAATAAAATAAGATCAACAATTAAAAGTATTGGACGATCTA